AGAGACTACTAGGAAGTCAACGACTACAGAAAAAGCCTGTTGTTCGAAAGGCGCCTAAAGCGAGAAGACGAACGAAGGCTAGTATAGCCGCTCTCCGAGAAATCAGGAAATACTAGAAGTCTACGGAGCTTTTAATACGCCGACTTCTATTCTCAAGGATTTGTCGAGAGATTACGATAGATTTGGCAACTAATGCTAGCAATAGTATATACCGTTTTCAAGCTAAGGCTCTACTTTGCTTGTAGGAAGCAACGGAAGCTTTTCTTATATAGGAGTTCGAAGTCTCTAATATGCTAGCGATTTACGCAAAACGGGTAACCTTATAACAGAAGGATATGAAACTTTGTCGCTAGATTCGGAAGCGCTTCGCAGGAGAAGCGAATTCAAGTACCGAGCTTTGATCTTATAGCAATTCGCCGACTACGTCTGCCGACTATATACTCCTAATATCGTTTTCGAGGCTAGTACTTGAAGAATTAGTACCAGATGTATAAGATAACCCGAAAACGAGCTTCCGTAAGATGTTGTCTCCCGTACTAATTATATCTATATAAATCTCTAGGTCTCTTGTTTACGGGCTAGGCACTGCTTATACGGTCGTTATATCAACATTTCCTATTTCCGGCGATCTTACTTTACTATTTCTTACTTCTATTGTCCAAAAACGGCAGGTGCCTACCCTACGTAGACAAAGAATCCCTCGCTTCTGATTGGTCGCGCCCCTAGACCCTGAATTCCGCCGCCTTCAAAGGTATTCCCTACTTCCAAAAAAACCTAACTTGCGACATTAATATTAGTTGTTGACCCCCCCCCCTCCCGCCCCGCCCCCTACCCGCTACAACCCCTCCTAGCCTCCGCCTACTGCTCTGCCTACTGCTCTACCTACTGCTCCGCCTACTGCTCTGCCTACTACACCGCCTGCTGCTGCTATCGTTATAGCGCCGTTACTCGTAGCGCGCCGTAAGCTTTCAATCGCTAGAAAGGTACTACGAACATCTAGAAAGAGACTCCCTAGCGCAATAGATAGGAAAGGGCTTCTATCCGCAGGTATAAAGAAAAATCAAAAAAAGAGAGGCAGTAAGTATACCTGGTCGGCAGACGTAGTCGGTATATATAGTCGGTATATACTAATATTTCTTTTAGAGGGAGCTTTGTAGGAGATCAAAAAATGCTAGACGGAGGTTATAAACTATATCCTAAAGCTCGCGTTCGTACGTATCGTTAGGGATGCTATTATCCTTTTTACCGAAGACTACCTCCCTATACGGATCCAAGCGAGCGTACTCGGCATCCTCTAGGAACAGTACGAGAGTATAGTAACGAAAGTCTTTTCGTTAGCTAATCTTCTCGCTATCTACTGTAAGCGAGTTATAGTAATAGCGAAAGATCTCGAATGTCTTCGTAGGCTGCTAAAGGAGTAGAATGTCTAGCTAGACAATTACGTAGTTGCTCCCTATAGCTCTGGCCTAGTTAACCCGAATACGATATATAAGCCTCGATCAAAGACGAAGAAGACGAAATCGAAGCTAACTCTAAAGAAGCCGACTACGAAGAAGAGAAAGAAGACTCCCGTATCCTTAAGCGAAGACGAGAGCTCAGATGATCCCGATAACCCTAGCGCTTAAACGGGTACTTAAACCGGTACTAGTAGCTAGATAGACGCCAACAATCAAGATCCTCCTAGTACCGATTAGAATAATAGCGATACCGGTAGCTAGATAGACGGGAACAATCAAGATCCTCCTAGCACCGATTAGGATAATAGCGACACCGGTAGCTAGATAGACGGGAATAATCAAGATCCTCCTAGCACCGATCAGGATAATAGCGACACCGGTAGCTAGACAGACGGGAACAATTAAGATCCTCCTAGCACCGATTAGGATAATGCAGATACTAGTAG